TGGGGTGGGATGGGGTGGGGAGGTGGGGGTGGGGGCAATGGCGGAGGGGGTGGGGGAGGCGGCGGAGGCTGGGTGAGATAGCTGGGAGCAGAATGCATGTTCAGGCTGCTCTGGAATTAAAATGAAGAGAGAATGAAAGTGTCGTAGCCCCTTGGTACCAGCTGCCTCGTTGATCAGGGAGGAAGGGCATTTGCTTTAATCAGCCATGTGGATGGCTCAGAGGGCGGGGCTGAAAGGAGACCCAGAAACAAAACCATGTGAGAATTCAGAGCAGCCATTAGTCTGGTGCTCCTACCCCAGCTCTAAGAGAGTCCACAGAACTGACCTAGCCTATGCAGGAAGTTCACACAGCATTGCTCTCTTTAGAAGGGCCTGCTTGTAAGGCTGGCCTTTGACTGGCATCTTGTAAGGCTGGCCTTTGACTGGCATCTGAGAACTTGGCTTTTGGTACGTTCCCTACGTTGATGAAGTTGCTTGGCCCAAATGTGCACTGACCCATACTGCCAGCTTGTCTAGATTGTTTGTACACACAATGTGATTTATGGTGTACACTTCCTTCCTGGCTGGAATTGAGGTTATTGTGGCATGTCATCTCCATGACCAATGCTCAATAAAAACCGTGGGCTGTGAGTCTCCGTGAATTGCTGCACTCCATTGCTGGAGGCAGAAGTCTGTCTTGTGCAGCCTCTCTCCTCTCCTCCAGGAGAGAGAACTCCAGATACCTCTGCCTGGATGCCTCCAGACCCCACCTGATGAGTACCCTTCCCCCATAAAACTGCAGTCACTGAATATGTGGGGAACCAAGGATCCATGAAACACAGTCACTAACACCTAAAATTTATTTTACAGAAATAATCTAACAGAGGGAACAAACCTTTATGGCGATGATCATTCCCACCCCCTTGCTACACAGGGTATGGACATTGGCTACCCAAAATGGGGGAGGGGGGAGCTACAAAGCCAAGAAGTGATTGGCTTACAAGCTTTCAAGAGGGAGCCTAGATCCAGAAGGTACGGAGGAAAGTAGAATCTCCACTGAGTAGTATCCAATCTATCTGGGCGGGGCCGATGAAAGGAGATGGGGATAGGACTCTTGTGGTACAACAGTGAATAATTGCTATCAGGACTGAATGTGAGGGCTGGAAATGTAAAGGTAGACATTTTGCAATAAAAGGAAGGGAGTGGTTGACTTTGCAGTCCAGGACCAGAGGTCCCTGAGACCATCAAGGGAAAAGGGGGGAGTGTGGGACCCTACCCAGAGAAACAGTGATGCCAGAGATGGAGGCAGAGACGATGACGTGGAGAGATGGAGCGGATGGGGACTCTAGACCCAGAGAGGGAGAGGGGCTGTGCGCTGACAACCAGGGGGCAGGCTTGCGGGGTATATGCTTTGGTTGGTTGATGATACATGGAGGGGATTGTAACCATGGCAATGAAATGATATACGATAGGATGAATGTAAAGCTAATGTTCTCCCATGTAAACTATCACATAATTCACAATAAAACACTTTAAAAAATTAATCTAACAGGTCAGCAAACATAGCTATACATGGCTGGTGACTTCAATGGTTGTTGTAATAGCAGAAAAAGGAAATGATCAACGTGCCCATCTATAGAAGACTGGCTAGGTTAAGGATGGTCCATCCATATGATAGAATTCCTTGTGGTTGTGAAAATGACAATGCTGATCAATGTTTCATAAAGAGTACTCGGAGTAATTGCTTTTCCTTTGAGAAGAGGTTCCACAGTCAAATACATTTGGGGGAAAAAAATCTGGGTTAACAAAATCAAAAGTATTTCTTTACTATAGGAAACTTCTAGGGACAAAACAAGGGGAGGAGCAGAATGCCTCCACTTGGGCTGGTTTTAACCAGGGGGCTTTTTCTAATGGAAAATCCCAAGAAGCCACAGTTTGGAGGAATATTTTAGGAAATGCATTAGGCAAATCTGCTGCACAATACCTCTTTAAAGTGTTGAAGAACAAAGATGTCAGTTTGAGGACTAAGGTACATCTGATCCAAGCCATAGTATTTTCAATACCCTCATATGCATGTGAAAGTTGAACAATTAATAAGGAAGACAGTAGAAGAACTGATGCATTTGAGTTATAGTATTGGAGGAGAATATTAAAAGTACCATGGACTGCCAAAAGAACAAACCAAACTGTGTTAGAAAAAGTACAGCCAGAATATTCCTTGGAAGCCAGGATGGCCAGACTTCATCTCTCACACTTGGGAAGTATTATCAGGAGGGATCAGTCCCTGGAGAAGGATATCATGTTTGGTAAAGTGAAGGGTCGGGGGAAAAAGAAGAAGACCCCCAACAAGATGGATTGGCACAGTGGCAACAGCAATGGGCTCAAACGTAACAAAGATTGTGAGGTTGGTGTGAGACTGGGCAGTGTTTTGTTCTGTTGTGCAGAGGGTCACCATGGGTCAGTACAGACTCGATGGCACCTAACAACAGACAGAGAATTAAGCAAAAGGTAAAGATATGAGAATATATAAAATGACATTCGCAAAAGAAAGATAAAAAGAAAGAGAGAGTAGTTGTGGAGTATGCTTATGTATATAGCCAGACACCTCATGGGATCCGGCTCCTTGGTTTGGAGGTTTAGGGTCATGGTTTCATGGGACATCCCTGTAAATTGGCCTAATAATTGAAATTAATGTTTAAATTAATTTTAATTATTAGGCCAATTAATAATTAATCTCTACAACTACTGATCTCTCTATTACAGAGGAAAAAAGAGTGATTAAAATCAAAGATGCATGGGAACAACTAACCCAATGGACCATGTGAACATCAGTCTCCATGACTCTGAGATTAGGAAAACTACATGGCACCTGGTTACCACTGCCAACTGCTCTGAAAGGAATCACAGTAGAAGGTCCTGGAGAGAGTGGAGAAAAATGTGAAACAAAACTCAAATCAAGGCTTACTGGTCTGACAGAGACTGAGGAACTCCAGAGACTATGGCCCATCATCACCCTTCAGGTCTGGAACTGAACTTACCTTCATGGCTCAATTTTCAGCCAAATCTATAAGGGGAACAATAAAACTAGGGAGATACTTAGAAACACCAAGTATTTGAGATCAAAAGAGCAGCATTTACCAAGGGTTACGAAAGGTTAGGAAAGGAGGAGGAATAGAAATGAGAAACCGGAAGGAAGTAGGATAAGTGGTGTTACTCTGAGAGGATTACAATCGATGAGATGAAACAAAATGTGTATGAACTGCTAAATGTAAAACTAATGATCTGTTCTGCACACCTTTACCCAATTCACAATAAAAGGTGTTTTAAAAAATTAGTGTCTATTCACCCAAGACAATGAAAGATATATTCACTCCATGAATTCACTCCTTTGCCATGAAATATTTTGATCAAAGATTTCATAGAGAAATCCTAGTTAAAAGGGGGTACATGAATACTAGAATTTTTAATTCTCCAAGAGTCTACACTTTTGGGAGACATGGATGCTGGATGAACTCTAAAACGATTGCCTTGAGATCAGTTTTAAATTATAAACCAAAAATATATCCTGAAATCTTCTTAAGATCAAACAATAGTTTAGCTTAACTAGTATTAAAAGGAGCTCTGGTACCATAGCGGTTACGAGTCGGGCTGCTAACCTCAAGGTCGGCAGTTCGAAACTACCAGCTGTTTCTGCATGAGAAAGATGAGGCTTTCTGCCCCTGTAAAGATTTACAGCCTCGGAAACCCTACATAGGGACACTATGAGTTGGAACCGACTCCACGGCACACAACCACCACCACCAGCACCACCAGTATTAAAAAATTTAAAAGTCTACCTGGAGCATTATTATACTCTTTTCAGAACTATCTATATGGGATCAAACTGACAGCAACAACTCGAAAGATTAGACAGGACTCTTGCAGGGGGAGGAGGACAGTGAATTTATGTTAATGAAGGAAGAATAACTCAAAACAGGAAAACAAGAACAGCTGAACAACTCCAAATGTAATCAGTCAATAAATTACACATGCAAAAAGAAGCGCAGGTTACATGTACTATGTACATGTGTGATCCCTTTGTATGTTGTTGTTGTTGTTAAGTACTGTGGAGTTGGTTCCAACTCATAGTGGCCCCGCACAGGGTTTCCAAGGCTTTTACAGGAGTAGAAAGCTTCATCTTTCTCCCACGGAACAGCTGCAGTTTTGAACTGCCGACCGTGAGGTTAGTAGCCTGATTCGTAACAACTACGCTACCAGAGCTCCTTAATCCCTTTGTATAGATATACATATTATATTTATATCAAAAGCTTTTATATCTCTCTATCTATTCCTCAACTTTTAGTCTGAAAACTTTAAAACCTACAGAAAGGCTGCAAGAAGAATACACTGAACACCCTTCACTATTCACTTAACTCACCAATTAATACCATTTGCCACATCTGCTTTCTCTGTTTGTGTTCACACATGCACATGTGTGTATACATCACACATATACATGTAGATACATACATACGAATACATTAACAGAAAGACTGAGAGAGAGGCTTCAAAAAGTTGGTGGGAAACTTCCATTATCTTTTCATTCCATTTTTCCATGAACTTTTTAGATATACAGATAATCTCTTACATAACCAGACTCCAATGAGTATACTCAGGAGGGTTAATAGCGATACAGTATTGTGTTGTTGTTAGGTGCTAATGAGTTAATTCCAACTCCTAGAGAGCACATATGACAGAGTAGAACTGCCCTAGAGGCTTCCTAGGCTGTAGGATTTGCAGAAGCAGATCACCAAGTCTTTTTTCCTGCAGAGTACTTAGTTGGGTCTGACCCACCAACCTTCTGGTTAGCGGTTCAGTGCTTAAACATTGCACCAACAGGGCTCCTTTTAATACAATCCTATTATCTAAAATATTCAGCTTTATAGTTTGTTTGTTTGTTTCCTGATCCAGGATCGGTCAAGAATTGCAGCTAGTTGCTCTGACTCTTTAGTTTCCAGACTACAAATGACTGTTGTTAAGTGCCATGGCCTCGGTTCTAACTCATAGCGACCTATATAAGGTTTTTGAGAATGGCTCGTGAGTTTGAACTGCCAACCTTGCAGTTTGTGTATTTTCAAATATTTTTCTACTCAGCATGAATCATTTTTGTAAAGAATAAAAACAGGATTCAAGACAGCTGGACTGTATGATGAAACACTCTGGGAATGGATAAGGGGGACGTTTGAACAACATAATGAAGATCATTACTGCCACTAATTGTACATATGAAGACAGAAATGGCAAATATTTTGTTACACACACAGCTGACTCTGGTTATGAAACCCCAAAGTCAGGTTCTCAGTCTCTTCCTGAATGTGGCCACTTCCCCAGACCCAGCAGGGCAGGCCCAGAGGAAAGCTGACAGTCCCTTTCCATATGGGGCGGGCTAGGGCCCAGGCTGTTTATTTCTTACAAGATTCTAGATTCACAGGAATCAACATATCGGCCCAGAATCAAGACCTAGTGAGAAGCCTGCCCCTTCCTTACCTGCACAGGTGGGGGGCCCTGGGGCATAGGCTGGTCCAGGGACGTGAAGGCCGACATGGCAGACATGAGCACATCATCGCTCACCAAGATGTTCCCCTGCACCAAGGTCTGGATCAGCGGGGATGGGGGCACTGTGATGTATGTGGAGATCTGGACAGTGAGACAAAGAGCAGAGCATGACTGCAGTCCTGTAAGGAAGCTGAAGACATGATGCAAACTCTGAGTTCTGGAGTCCTACAGACCTGAGTTCCATTTCCACCTCTGCTGCTCCCAGCTGTGTGACCCTGGGCAAGTCACACTACCTCTCTGAGCTTCCATTTTCTCATCTACCAAATGAGGAGACTGTCTCACCTCCCTGTAAGACACACAGCCTATGGCCCAGCAATGACGCTTCCTGATATCTGTCCCAGAGAAACATTCACACATATCCACAGGGAGTCGAAGAGTGAGAGGACTTCACATCATCTTGACTGTTGCTGTTTGCAGCCAAGTGCCTTCCAATTGGTTCCAATTCATAGCGACCCTGCATAGGCTTTCCAAAGAGCAACTGGAAGGTTTGAACTGGCAGTCTTGTGGTTAGTAGTCCAATGTTTATCTTACAGCACTTTAGAATTGTGGAATACTGGAAATAACTTCAGTGTCCATCAACAGGAAATGGACTTTGAAAACTGGCAATTGAGTCATGGTAAACAGCAGGTAAAAGGTACCTCATGAGAAGGCAAATTACATACTAATATGTAGCTTGTTGTTGTTATTGTTAAGTGCTCGTTGAGTCAGTTCTGACTCATAGTGACCCTGTATAGGGTTTCTGAAGCTGGAAATCCTTGCGAGAGCAGAAAGCCTCATCTTTCTCCCATGGAGTGGCTGGTGGGCTTGAACCGCCCACCTTGTGGTTTGCAATCCAATGCTTATACTACACAGCCATTGCACTCCCAAAAATGTAGATTATATATGCTTAATTTTGAAAAATCTAAAAGTATATAGATATATAGGTTAAAAAAATTTTTAATTTATTTTAAAGTTGCCATGTGTGTCTGAGTAGAATTATGCCCCATGCAGTTTTCATGGGCTGTGGCCATTCAGAAGCAGATCACCAGGCTTTTTTCCCATGGTGCCTCTGGGTGAATTTGAACTGCCAACCTTTCAGTTAATAGCCAAGCGTTGAAACATCTGTGACACCCAGGGGCTCCCTTTAAAACAACAATACTATATAACTCCTATGGGAACTTAAACACATATGTTAAAGTGTCTCCAAAGATCTCTAAGAATACCCATCAACAGTTACCTGGGGCAGGGGAGGGGAATAATATCAAAGGAGCTTTTATTTGCAACATTCTAATTTTTCAAAAGGAAAAGGGAAACATGTATTACTCAAAAACATACACAGTAATAATAAAAACAATAATTTGTTCTCAGCATTAGTAAGGATGAAAGGCAGACTTCATAAAGTGTCAACCAACAGAGCCTGCTCCTCTCAGTAGATGTAAAGGGCACTGTGTTTGCTCTTCTTCAGTGGTAAGCCCTTGGCATCTTGCTGGGTCACCTGTCTCTGTGGGAACTCTGGGGGCAGCAGCCACTAAGTCTCAGAAGCCATAATCCTGGCTTAGAAACAGGATGCCCCAGGTAGCCCAGGCAGATTGGGAAATGCCCCATGTTAGGGCCAAGAGAGGCCTTGATAGATTCTGGCTCATTTATATTTTTATAATATTACATGCGTTAAAAACCAAACACACTACCATCAAGTCAACTCCAACTCATAGCAACCGTACAGGACACATTAGATTTGCTCTGCAGGGTTTCCAGGTCTGTAAATCTTTATAGGAACAGGCAGCTTCATCTTTTCCCACAGAGTAGCTGGTGGGTTCAAACCACTGGCCTTGAGGTTAGCAGCCCAATGGCTAATCCACTGTGCCACCAAGACTCCTTTCACATATATTATTAAGTGCTATCGAGTCGGTTTTGACCCATAGTGACCCTGTATAGGGTTTCTGAGGAGCAGCTGGTGGATTTGAACTGCCGACCTTTCACTTCAAACTGACCTTGCAGTCCAGTGTTTAGGTTAAGATGAAAAATGGGAAGTCACGCTGTGTTCATTCAAGTAACTTAAAATGGGTTGGGTGTGTTTGTGTTTCTCAATAACTAGCTGTTATCAATCTAAAGTTATTTCTTAACTTGCTGTGTAAACTTTCACTAGAAACTCAAGTTGCTGTTGCTAGTCAGTTCCGACTCATAGCGACCTTGTATAGGGTTTCCAAGGAGCAGCTGGTAGATTTGAACAACTAACCTTGTGGTCAAGTGCTTATCCTATAGTGCCACACTTTAAAATAATGATTTAAAAACTTAAGTCATTCCCATGCTCAGACCTGGAGAAATTGCCCTCTTTCCTTTTATTGGGAAAAAAAAAGTGGGGTGGATATTTTTTGCTAACAAAACTCTTAATCAAGGAATGAGAAAAATCATGTTCTTTTCTTAAACCTCAAGTTTGCACAGTTCTTTTCCAACAGCTTCAACTAATCCTCACTGCAGTCTCTCAACAGTAATTTTTTTTCCCGTTTACAGATGAGGAGAGAGAATTTGCGAAAGATAACCAATGAGTGGGTAGATGTGGCCTCCAATGTGGGCTGTGAGGTGACATTTAGCTTGTTTTAAATGGGGGGACAGTGTCCTACACCTATTAACAAACACACACAGAGAGTTAAATGCCAGTATTTGTGATGATAAAGAATTAGAAATACCCAACTATTACTCTAACTTCCTATAATACAAGAGGGCACTTAATACTTGCTATAGACAGTTTGTTATATTTGAATCAGGAATGAGGTAGAGAGCTGAACCTGGAAGAATAGTTTTTATAATGCAATCCTCATTAGTTTAAAAGGGAAAAAAGCTACGTATTTGTGTATGGAATACAGTTAATGGTGGTATTTCTAGGGAACCACAATTTGGGAAAGAGATTTTTTGCTTTATATACTAGTGTTTTTTTTACACTGAGCCTGAATTATTTCTATAATTAAAGAGAGAGAGAGAGAGATTAGAGCAGGCTATATATTTTAGAAATAGCTAGGCAGTGAGCGTACAGATAGGCAGGCAGTACTTGTAGGCCAGCCCTCTGGAAAGCAGGCCACACCAGAAGACAAAGTCCTATCCTCTGACCCAGGAATTGTATTCTAAACTGTGTACCAAGGGAAAAAAATTCAAAAATAAGAAAAGTACTCCTGGTTTTTAACTAGAAGATGTTTGTGGCAACTTGAAAAGTTTCAGTCTTCATGTTCTATAGGTCTTGAGGGTGAATGCTTTCATTTTGATAGAAGGAATTATGTCTATGCAATGGATGAAGATTCAAGTATATTAAAGCAGTAAGGACACAAAAGGAAGCCAGAGGGAAATATGGCCCCTTCTTCTGGGGTCCTAGGATATGCTCAGCTTGTGTGTAAACTTTCCCTAAAAACTCAGTGGCTGTTGCTTCCTTTATGAGGGAGATTTTAAAATCCCTCTTAAGAGCTCCTCACCCCACTCAGGGTGTCTTGGTCCAGAATGGTATTCCTAAGGACTTAAGAAGTTTCTCCAGCCACCTCCAGCCTGTCCTCTCCTCTGACTTGATACTTGTATATTTGTCTCTCTGTCACCTCCACTTAGAGGGCAAATGGTCGTCTCGGACACATGTCTAGCTGGGCTAGTGTCTCCTAAAAATCTTCTCCTCATTTTGGTTAATGGCAACTCCCACTCTGGAGTTGCCTTCAACTCCTCTGCATCTTGTACCCCACACAATCCAGCCAACCCTTTTAGCTCAGTCTTCAAAGTGTTTTTCACCCTACTGTCCACCACCACTCCCTGGTTAAGCCACCATCACCCACAGCCTGGATTTCTACAACAGCCCCCTAACTGGAGAAAGCATAAATCTGTTCTCCAAGCAGAAGACAGAGTGAACTGGTTAAAGTGTAAAGCAGACCATGACCCTCATTTGCTGAAAACCCTCCAGTGGTTTCCATTTCACTCATGGTCTGATATCCACATGATCTGCCAGATCCTTGCATTGCCTCTCTGGCCTTAGTGTCACTGTCCTCCCATCATCCAACTCACTCACTCAGCTCCAACCATTCTCACCTCCTTGCTATTCCTTAAGCAAACCCAAGGGGGCGCAGTGGCTCTGTAAATATGCGCCGGACTGTGAAACACAGGTGGATGGTGAGCCCACCAGCTGCTCCATGGAAGAAAGATGAGGTTTTCTGCTCCCTCAAAGATTTCCAGTCTCAGAAACTCTATATACAGGATCGCTATGAGTCAGAACCAACTTGATGACACTTAACAACAACAAACTCTCACCCCAAGGCCTTTGCCCTTGCTGATTCGCCCCTATTTTCCCCCAAGCTAGGAGCAGACTCATTCCTTCACCTCTTTTGTTCTCTACTGAAATATTACCTTTTCACAGAATCCTTCCCCAAGTGCCACAGACAGAATGACAAACCTACCACGCATGTGTTGCCATCCCCTATCCCTCTGCACACAACAGTCTGAAATAAGTATATACTTATTCACTTGTTTTGTACTATCTATCTCACCTAACTCCACCTGGGCAGTGACTTGGTCTGTCTTGTCCACTGATGTACCCCCAGTATCCAGAATAGTGTCTGGCACATAGTTACTAAGTGCTGGTAAGTGCCATCAGGTCAGTTCTGACTCATAGTGACACTGTACAGGGTTTCTGAAGAGTGGTTGGTAGGTCTGAATAGCCAACCTTGCTGTTAGCCATCCAGTGCTTATCCTACAGTGCCCCACCAGGACTCCTGGCACATAGTGGTTAGTGGTTGTGCACCATCGAGTCAGTTCTGACTCACAGCAATCCTGTATAGGGTTTCTGAGACTGGTACTCTTTATGGGAGCAGAAAAGCCTCAGATTTCTCTCACGGAGCGGCTGGTGGGCCTTCCGGTTAGCAGTACAGCATGCACCTCACTACACCATCAGGGTTTCCTTTGGCACACAGTTGTTGTTAAGTGCCATCAAGTTGGTTCTGACTCATAGCGACCTTGTATAGGGTTTCTGAGGAGCAGCTGGTGGGTTTGAACTGCCAACCTTGTGGTTCACAGCCCAATGCTGAGCCTACAATGCCATACCAGGTGTCAGTGCCCAAAAAAGACTTGCTGAATGAATGACAGAACAAACAAACGAATGAATACCTGACGATTGGCAGGAGGCGGGGCCTGCTGAACCGCTGTGGGCGCTGCTGAAGGGGTATAGATGTTGTTGGTGGCCAGTGAGACTGTGGCCAAGGGCGGGGCACTCCCCTGGCACTGTTCCCGCTTGTGGGTCATGAATGCTGGCAGTGAGTTGAACTGCTTCTTACACTTCCCACAGAGAAAGACATCTTCATCATCTAGGGATCGGAGCACAGCAGGAAGGGCCACCGAGGGAAAGAGAATAATCAAAGAAATGAAGCAAGGATAAGTCAGGGAGCATCATGGTGAGAAATGAAGAGCGACTGTAGCTGGACCAGGAAGAAGGAAAGTCTAAATGACATCCAGTGACTCAACACGCAGTTGTTAACTGTCAACTTTGTGCTTCCTGGGAGCTTTCAAAACAACACAGGCATCTGCAAGAATATCCAACCATCTGCACCTACGCATCATGTGATTAGAAATCAAGAAGTCTTAAAGTGGGTTCACTTCAAAGTTGAGAAATTCAGAATTGTTGTCCTACCTGAATTTTAAAATGGATCACATGATTACACTCCTTTGCGCCTTTGCACTCACTCGTCCCTTTGCCAAGATGCCTCTCAATATAACTCATTTTGTGAGTGGACGCTTGGACGCCACCTCCTCTAGGAAGTCTTCCCAAAGCCAGTGGCCACAGTTCCTTGCTCTGGGCAATATCACAGTTTTCTCATCACCACCAGACCATGAATCTCCTAAGGGAGATTATTTGGTTGGTTGGTTGTGTTCCACTGAGTTGGTTCTGACTCATAGCAACCTTGTATAGGGCTTCTTAGGCTATACATTTTTAACAGGAGCAGAAAGCTTCATCTTTTTCCCATGGAGTGATGGGTAGAGTTGAACTACTGACCTTGCAAACCTTAGTAACTCAACTGGTAATCCATCCACTATGCTAACAGGGCTTCAAAAAGTTTATGGAAAAATTCTATTATCTTTTAATTCCATTTCTCCATGAACTTTTTGAAGAACCATCATAGGTTATTATTAGGCCACCAAGTCAATTTCTGACTCATAGAGACTCCATGTGACAGAGATGAATGCCCTTTAGGGTTTTCTAGGCTGTAATCTTTATGGGAACATCTCACTAGGACTTTCTTCCGTGGAGCTGCTTGAACCACCGACCTTTCAGTTAGCAACTGAGCACTTAATTGTTGTGCCACTAAGTTTCCTCCCTTCATATATACCAATCCATTGCCTCATAGGGTTTCCTGGTATGAATGTATGATAAGCACTGTACTGCTAACCACAGGATCAGTGGTTCACCCCACCAGTCACTCCTCAGAAACCCTATCTGGGCTCACTTTGAGTCAGAACCAATTTGACAGCACTTAACAACATAGTACAACTCCATGGCACATAACAACATAGTGTTTCCAAGGCTATAAACTTTATGGAAGGTCAGACAACAGAGGCCATCCTAGGGACCAGAGTGGGCAGTGCACCCCTGCCATGAGCCCCCTTGTCCCTCATGGGGTTATGCACTCTTCCTGCCGCTGAACCTGAGCAAATACTCATTGTCTTCTTTTATCTGGTGCTGCTCTAACCGAAATACCACAAGTGAATGGTTTTAATTATGGGAAGTTTATTTTCTCACAATTTAGGAGCTTGAAGTCTAAATTCAGGGTACAGAGAAGCTTTCTCTCTGTCAGCTCTGAGAACAGGGCCTTGTGTTTTTTCAGCTTCTCTTTCTTGGTTCCTTAAGAGATCTTATGTGGCGTAGCATCCCTCTACCTTCAACTTGATTTTTTTTTTTTAGTTGCTTGCACAATTTGTTCTTTTATATCTCAAAAGACACTAAGGCACACTCTACACTAATACTGCCTCATAACATAACAGAGGAAACCCACTCCCAAATGGGATTATAAACACAGATGTAGGGATTAGGGTTTATAACACATATTTTGGAGGGACACCATTCAATCCATAACACTCACCTAAAGGTTGAATGGCAGGAGGTGCATTGACGCTCTGGCCTGTAGGATCAGGAACTGCTCCTTGTCCATCCAACAATGACTGGACAGCCAGGACAGTCTGATTGTCCATCCCTGAAAAAAGAAATGTAGTGACATCAGAAGGCAGGCCCAGTACCCACCTTAGACTTCATTCCTACAAACCAGTTCCACTTCAAGGCTACGATGGCAAAGATGCCAGGCGGTATCCAATCAACTTTCTCTCTTACTTCCATTTATTTGTTGTTAAGGGTTGTCAAGTCGGTTCCAACTCATAGTGGCCCTGCAGCGGGTATGCGAGGAGCATCTGGTGGGTTTAAACTGACATTACGGTTAGTAGTCCAGTGCTTATCTTACAGTGCCACAAGAGAATCCCTCCATTATAATGTTGCTGTTGTTGTTGAATGCCATCGAGCTGGTTCCTACTCATAGCAATCCTATGTAGGGTTTCCAAGGAGAAGCTAGTGAGCTTGAACTGCCAACCTTGCAATTCAACCCGACCTTGCAGTCCAGCACATTAACCTATAGCACCACACTAGGACTCCTCCATTGTAATAGAAACCAAGATTTTTGGATGGAAACATAGTCTCAGAATTAAGATGATACGTTATTGCAGCTAGGGGGACTAAATTCTGGCCAACAGTGTATCAGTAGAGGTGTTGTATGTTAGCTCCTAGGAAATTGTCTTAGAAGCTGCAGTTACGTGACCCTTTCCTTGTCCCAACCAACATCCCGCTTCCTAGAACAAGAATATGCTAGGACCATGAGACCAGGGCTACCTTATCGAGACTGCAGAGTAAAAAGCTGGAAAGATCCTGGGCCTCTGAGAATGTGGTTGAACAGAGGCATCCTTAGAGTCCTGGACTAGCTTTCTCTGTACTTTCATGGGAGAATTAACTTCTGGTCTAATTTAAGTCACTGCCACATTGGATTCCTCTCTACTCTGACTGAATTGAATCGTCAGAGATGCCACCCTTCCAGAAATCATAATGACAAGTTTCCTTCATCCATACCCTCAAATCCACAAGTCTGTTTGTACCAGGCATCCTTGCTTTCCTTGTTTTCCAAGGTTTTTGTATCATTTTTGTTCCTCAAGAAACAGAACAATATGAATTTATGGTTGGACGACTCTTGAGAGAGACACTGACTTCCATGTTTTCCCATCATTCATCACCATCAAGGGTCACAGTAATATACTGTCCAGCCATACCACTCACTTCCTCACATTGAAGTTGCCTCCCTCCCAAATAACCCAGTGTGTACTTCCTTCTGCTTTTCCTACAGTCAATGCTTTGCCTCCCACCTTGCCAGCTCTAACATGGATACCTTCCCCAGCTTCCTAGCTGGAAGGCTCCTTAGCCTCCTGCCACCGGAAACCAATCTTCATAAACCAGCCTCTCTAAGCATATATGCCTGAATCTCTTCTTCCCACCCACAGCTCAGGTCTCTCCAGAATGTCCTTCTTCAAACCCATGTTCCCATTTCTCCTCCCTTAACATCAGGCGTCCTATGAGGGCCATCGGCACTCTCCATCTCATGTGACCAAAGATTTTGTGACAGCATCTGGCACTCTTTGAAACAGTCCCTTCTCTGCCTTCAGGATGCCACCTTCCCAAGGTCTTCTCCATCCTTCTGGTCATTCCTTCTCAGCCTCCAGCACTGTCTTCTTTTGGCCACATCCTAAATGTTTCAATTTCTAGGGGCTTCTCTGTCTAGACTGTCTCTCCTTTCATAGTCTCCTGAGTAGACTTGTTCCTTTCAATCATCAGAGTCCCTAACCTGTATTCATGCGTCCTTGAACGAGTTTCCATATATTTTCTACCATTTCAGACAAAACTGTTAGCATGTGAGTTTTCAGGAAAGAAGTCCTCAGACTCTAAAGAGGCTACTGGATATCTATAAGGGGGACACCAATACGAGTGAGGAATGCATATCACACAATGGTCAACTAGTTCAGAAGGGTTGGGAAAGGAGGAGAAATGGATACAGGAAATACAGGGAGGAAGTAGGGTAAGTTATGTTACACTGAGAGAATTGTAATCACTGAAATGAAGTCTAAGATTTGTTGAGTGTAGAACTGATAATCTACTCTGTAAACCTTCACTCAATTCATAATAAAAAAAGTTTAAAATTTATTTTTAAAAGGCTATTATTAAAAAAAACCAAAAAAAAGCAGCATATTCCGCCTTTCCCAGTGCATTCACCTCTCTGCAATGAGATTTTGCAACTTTTCTTAGCAAGAAGTCGAGACAATTTCTACAATCCTTGAATCTGAGCATGGCCATGGACTAACTGTGACCAACGGAACTGTACCAAACACAGTATAAGCATAGGCTTAATTGTTGTTGTTAAGTGCCACTGAGTCAGTTCTGACTAATAGCAATCCTGTATAGGATATCTGAGGAGTGGCTGGTGAGCTTGAACTGCTGACCTTGTAGTTCAAACCGACCTTGCAGTGCAACACATTAACCCACAGCGCCACTCCAGGATAAGTACCTGCATATTGGGCCTTGTTGCTTTGGAACTCAGCCACCATGTGAAGGAGGCCAGGCTAGGCTGACAGACGCTAGAGATAAAGAGCCCAGCTGTTGCTCCTATTGCTTCAGACAACTATGCAATAGGTGAATGAAGTCATCTGGGACCAACCAGGAGCTGCATGAGTGAGTCAGGTGAGACCAGCATAAAAACCACTGAGTTGAGTCCAACCTAAATTGCAGTGCCACCGAACTGTGAGTTAATAAATTATTGTTGTTTTGAGCCTTTAGGTTTTGAGGTGGTGTGTTGCATAACAGTACACAACTGATAAACAGCTCCAAATTCCAATTTTCAACCCCCATCCTTCCAATCCAAACATCAAAGTACTTGGTGCCATCTTAATGCAATGTGCCTGGGAGACCTCAAAATACAGTCTCCCTATCTACAGAATGAAAAGACAAGCTACATTCTGGGAGAATTACTGGGTGACAGTTAACTACAATAAATTTAAAAAAACTCTCAAAACTCAGTGATTGGAGAGACATTTCACCTCAGAGAATATACAAGTGGCAAAAAAGCACATGAAAAGACAGTCAACATCATTAGCCATTAGAAAAATGCAAATTAAAACTATAGTGAGGTATTATATACACCCATCAGAATAGCTCAAATAAAACACTAGAATGATACCAAACGCTGTCAAGGATGAGGAAAAACTGGATTGCTCACATATTGCTAAT